CCGGCCATGTGCCCAAGCTGGATCCAAATCCTACAGCCAAGATTTTTTTTCTTTTTTAAAATTTATTCACTTGAGACAGAGATACAGAGAGAGAGAGCATGAGCAGGGAGAGAGGTAGCGGGAGAGGGAGAAGCAGGCTCCCCGCTGAGTAGGGAGCCCGATGCGGGACTCGATCCCAGGACCCCGGGATCATGACCTGAGCCAAAGGCAGATGCTTAACCATCTGAGCCACCCAGGAGCCCCCCACAGCCAAGATTTTATTTTGTAGAAATTACCTCTGAGTAATACCTTTTCCTTTAAGCAAGCAGCTAGGTCCAGCTCCTTGCTGGCAGCCCCACACTGATTATTATATCCCACAAGCCTGTCTGCCATTGGGAAAAGCATCCCTATAAAGCTTTTGGGCAATCAGTAGTGGGGTACCTGCTCTGCCCCCTTTCCCAGCAGTGACAAAGAAAAGTCAAGGGTCACTGTGAACCTCGGGGTGAGGCGCGGAGTTCAGGCTAGGAGACTGATGCCCTATCCTTGAAAACACAACCAACTGGAACTTAAAATCCTCCTGTTTGAAAAAGAGATATTTAACCTTACTACATGACCCCTAAGAACAGTACAATCTGTGAACTATGAGGACTATAGCCCGGATTCCTTGAAAACGGAAAGACATTTCCTTCCGGCTCTCCCCACCTCACACTCCAAATTCTCTGAGTCCTGGACTGTGCGAGCTTCCTAAACACACCATGCCCTTCCCCGGCGGCTGCATCTTTATCTGAAATGTCCTCCCGGCTTCCCTGTCACTGGCTACACGGAGCCGTCTGCAGCTTCCGCAGGGCGGGTGAGGCATGGCTCACCCCAGCTCCCGCTGCACTTAGAGGTATCTGGCAAAACAATGAATCGTGGATCACTACATCAAAAACTAATGATGTATTGTATGGTGACTAACATAATAAAAAAAAAGAAAAATAAAGGCACCTGGCATACCCACCTGGTCGTCCCTTTTTTATGTCTTAATCCATCCCCCCACCCCACAAAGACCACACATTCCACAATAAGGGCCATGTCTTAATTATCTTTGCTTCCTTGGCACCTTGAGAGAGCCGAAGACATGCTCAATAAGTATATAATGAATGGGTGAATCGAAGAATCAATGATTGTTACCCAAAGCTGAGTCTCACTGCCTTGACTGTGTAGGCTCCACGCTCATAAGATGGAAAAACACACAGAGGGAATATTATTGCTTCATCACAATACCGTGATGACCAGTCTTGATGGCTGGGGTGGAGAGACATGGGCACCAAACTGCAAACTGCCCTAGAAGGCAGACCCGTTTGCTGCAAGGAGCCTCAGATCCTGCCCCGAGCCTTCCCCTCCCCCTCGGAACTCGCAGGAGAACTTCGATCTCTAAGCCAAATTAACCACCCGGAGTATTTGAGAAAAATGAGATTCTTCTGCAGAATGATCTGTTTGTGGGAGACATGTGTTCCTGCAGCAGCTGTAAAGCACGATATTTTTTCCATTTCCTTACAACAGTAAATTGAAAATTTGTTTCCATGAGGGAATTCTTTTTTTTTTTACCATTCCTCCAAAAACCAAATAAAAAAGCACCAAGAATGTAGAAAACCTATTAAAATCGCATATTGAAAGAAATAAAAATGACACTGTTCAGATAACATCAGCACCACTGCCCAGAGGCAAAAAATTAAAAATATACCACTAAAACGGAGGCCTTTCCCATAAATACCATACTGATCTAGAAAGGAGACTCATGTCTGATTTCAAAAGGCTGATTTCTGTTTTACTTTTATTTACTTTTATTTACTTTACTTTGGGAATTATGTTCAATTTGAGCGATTCTGCACAGGTAAAATGGAGCTGAGCTAATCTAACCATCAACACAGCTGCTCAGGGGTTAAGTGCATTTTTGAAGATAACACTTGCATTTGGACATAAGCTCTGCTCGTTATGGTTCGTTGTTTACACCTGCATTCTCATTAAAGCCAGGCTGCTTCCGCCATTCCATCTGGGCCCTTTACTGGAACTCTTCTTCCTCTGCCTCTCAAATAACTGCGGTTCTCAGTTCCCTTCTCCACGATTACCGTTTAGCACCCACCTAGTCAAGCATTTAATTTTGCATGCACTTGGATGTCCATTAATTCCTTCATGAGTTCCTTTTTTGCTCCCCTGGTTTTAATCTCTCATTGGGACCTTCTGTACCCTCACAGAACCTGTGGAGTGCTGAACAGGGGTTTGGTGAATATTTATGGGTTTGCTATTTATTCAAAAGAAGACTCTTTAATTAATATGAGAGAATGGGGAGGTTCACAGCCTCAGGACTGAAAGCAAGGGTCAGACGTGGATTCAAGCTCCAGCACCGTTGCTTTCTACCTTGTAACTTGGAACAATGTCTTCCTTTCTCTCAGCTCATTTGCACATCTCAAAATTGAGGATAATAATAGCACTTTATGGCATTGTTTGAGGGGTCAATGAAACAAGGAATAAAAAGCACTTAGCACAAAGAAAAGTCCAGTCTCATGAACAGTAAGTACATACCAAGCACCCAATGCGTGGTACCTATTGTTATTGAAGACATGCCTCCCGACAAATCTGTGCCTGAACTATTGTTAGGAGGCTGGGCAGGTCATGCAGGAGAGGGAGCTGTCGGCAGCTTCTGCTTTGCTTTGTATCCCCGGCAGTCTTTTCATACTGGATTAAGAGAAATCTGGTGTCTTCTCTTTGGCTCTTTAAAATAATTTCTAGTGATCACTACAGGTACACAGATATATATATGTATTTTTTTACAAATTTACCAGGTAGTATTTAAAAATGTATCTACTTTGAGGGGCACCTGGGTGGGTCAGTCGGTTAAGCATCTGCCTTCACTCAGGTCAGGATCCTGGGGTTCTGGGATCGAGTCCCGCATCGGGCTCCCTGCTCAGCTTGGGGGGGGGGCGGTTGTCTGCCCCTCGCCCCAGCTCATGCTCTCTCTCACTCCTCTCCCTCGAATAAATAAATAAAATATTCAAAAAATAAAAAAAATAAAAATGTGTCTACCTTGATACTTACCCTATGGATATACAGAAATATTAATACTGGGGGCAGGAGGACTGGGTGAAGGGAACCCTGTACTACTTCCAAAATTTTTTTTTTATTTGTACCATGAGCTCTACTTGTTATGGTTTATTATTTATATTTGTGTTCTCACTACATCAAAGTTAATTCTGATTCTGATAATCTAAAATTACTCTAACTTAGGAGTTTAATACAAATGATTACCTATTAGTTACCTCCCTGAGTTTTGCTTTCCATACTTAGGATTACATTTCCTTCACACAAATAACAACCATATTTTAAACACAGATTTGCTATTGATTGAATTATGTGTCCTCCCAGAATTCATATGTTGAGCCCCTAACCCCTAAGGTAATGGGAAGCCCTGGCCCCTTGAATATGGGGCCCTGGGGAAATAATTGAGTCGTGAGAGTGTGTCTTTTAGACACACCAAAGCGCTTGCTTCCTCTCTCTTTCCATCCCCAAGTGAAGACGCAGCTAGACAACCACCTACGAACCAAAAAGGACAGTCCTCACCAGGAACCAAATTAGCACCTGGATCTTGGACTTCCCAGCTTCCAGAACTGTGATCAATAAATGTCTGTGTTTAAGCCACCCAGTCTATAGTATTTATGACAGCATCCAGAACTAAGACAATGTTCCAGTTCTTATCGATACTAACCCTGAAATACCTTATCTCTACTTATTAGCAATTAAACATTTAACTATTAAATGTACCACCTGCTTGACTTTGCGCCAGCCACATAATTTCTTGGTGCCTTCATCCCTAAAGTAAGGATAATAAAGTAGACTTCCAGCTAGGTTTAGAGAAGTGAACTGTGCGACGTGCTCACAAAGTGCCCCTTTTGTGGGGACCACTCGTGGCGGCTGCTGTCGCCACTGTTATTAAACTCTTGCTGGATTCATATCCACAGAGCGGAGCTGTATCTATGCAAAGCACTTTAGACGGAGTTTCAAGACGCCTGGCCTAGACTGTTGCTCTAAGTTAGACTTGTTGGCTTTCGCGTGTGGAAGATCTATGTCTACTTCAGTGAAGGGTGCTGTCTCCTAGGCTGATTCTGCAGAGCCATGAATCAACTCTTGGCCATGGCAGGGCAATGAGCATACGGGTCCCAGGACAACACTCCTCATTGTGCTGCAGGACGAGCCTGACCTTCCTCGACCGTGCACCATATGCCCCCACAGGGCCTGGGGCGTCTGGGGCTGTGAGCTTCTCGAGGCTCAGAGAAGACCGTGGAAAACTCAAGCAGCACCGTATGGTTGCGGCTTTTATTATGGGAGAAGGCACGGCGCAGGTCCAGTGTGCTTTGCTGTATTCAGAAACAACATGAATGAGGGCTGAGCCTTTAGAAACTCTCGCCAGGGCATTCTTGTCTAGCAGCGAGCTCTGCCCCTCACCATTAAGCTCCGACCGGTCCCCCGCGAGGTCTATTACACTGCCCACAGCAGCAGCTTGATAGCAGAGAAAAAACAGGGAAATGTTTAGCCAATAGGCCTTCTAACTTTCTGCTTCCGAATCCCTTGCCGCATACTGCTTTCTGGTCATTTTCTCCCAAGCTGCATGCTCCCTGCCCCCCATACAGGACTTTGACCAGGTGGGAGCCTCAGCAGAGAAGAGAACGAGTGTAAGGCTGGGGCCCTGGCTGCCGGCCCGGAGGACAGAGTGGACCCCACCGACAGTGTCAGTCCAATGTCAGTCAGTCCCTGCTTCCCCCCCCCCCGGCACCAGGGGACAATACGCCAGCCAGGGCAGTTAGGACTCTGCTGGAGTAGCTGGGAGGTCGGCGTACAGAGCAGTCTCCAGGGAGACGTGTCCATGGGAAATCGGTGGCTCTGAGTCTGAGCGGCCCCGAGGCCAACGATGAGCCCCTGCCTCGGCGTCAACCTGGCCTCAACCCGAGCGCCCAGGGAGAAGCTGCGCGGCGAGCAAGCCTTACCAGTGACGTGGAGCTTCTCGTCGGTGACCTCCGCCTTCAGGTAGATGCGGCCCCGCTTCTCCGTGTGGTCCATCCCGCAGAGGCTGGGCACGTTTATCACACACTGCTTGTGCACGTTCATGTCACAGGCTGTGGAATCGGGAAAGCGAGGGGTGAGGCTGACAGATGGGCTCAAGCCACCGCTTCCTCGGTGTTGTGGTGTGTGAGCGCAAGTGAAAATGAGCTACCCTCTAGCTCGATACTTCGCTATGATGTTTTTGGTGACTCGGAGAACTGTTAGCAGATGTCTTTATAACACAGGCTTCATGTGAAGGACAATATCCTTAAAATACCTGGGTCATATTTTCCAGTCGTAACTGAAGCAAAATCCCCCCGGGCCTGCTCTTCCATGCTTCAGATATATATATATATATATATATATATATATATATATATATATTTAAGATTTTATTTATTTGCGAGAGAGACAATGAGAGACAGAGAGCATGAGAGGGAGGAGGGGCAGAGGGAGAAGCAGGCTCCCCGCCGAGCAGGGAGCCCGATGTGGGACTCGATCCCGGGACTCCAGGATCATGACCTGAGCTGAAGGCAGTCGCTCAACCAACTGAGCCACCTGGGCGCCCATCAAATATTTAACTAATAAAAAATCTAATTTCTTTCCTTAGTTAACTCTGTCTTTTCAAGAAGGCTTAAGTACGTTGCCTTTTTTTTTTTTTTAAGAACTTATATTTGAGATTTTAAACCTGTCTTCAAATATTTAAATATTATTCTAAGTAAAACAAATACACGCCTGGCATGATAAGCCATTCCTTACCAGGTGACATTACATGGGTGAGACAGGGAGGAATAAAAAGATCAGTCTCAGCGCAGTGAACCAAAGAAACCCTGAAAAGAATCCTGCGTGAACACAAACATAAGACTCTGTGTAGGCGTTCTAGCCCTACTGTCCTTGTACCTTCAGGCTTCCCAAAGGGGCCACGGCCACTGGAATCCTCACACAACCTCGACAGGATGCTACAAGGCTCTTCCGTAACCTTCAAGGTGGAGCCTTCACGCTCAAACGAGTGTTTTTTGAGTGATTAACATGGTGGAGTAAATTGCAAAAAGCATTGCAAATAACGTATACTTGCTATGATTCGATACAGGAAGGATAATGCGCACAATGAGGAAAGAACCATCCGCTGCTTCACACATGTGGATTCTGTTTAGGTTTCTATTTCCAAAGCTAACCGTTCCAAATCATGCACCACCTCGATGCAGCCCATATAAAGGCTTCTTGACAAGGCGGGCCGTTGACAGGAGGTGTGTTCACCAACTCCTATCTTGAAGTGCTGGGGCAGAATTGCAACTTCAAAGAAATTAATGCCAGCCTCTCTGCAAAGGAGAAGCACAGCGGGGAGGGGAGCATGGGAGGCGTGAGCACCCTGGGTGGAATTCTTGTCTTGGCTGCACCATGAGCGGCTTTTCGATCTTGGGAAGCTCAAGCATTCTCTCTGATTCTGTCTCCTGCTCTGCAAACCAAGAGGCTGGTCTGGACAAGGGGCTGCTCATGTCTTTCCCCTACCAAGCAGAGCTGTATATGGTATTCTAACCCTGCAATGTGTGAAGGCACAGGGAGAGGTTCCCTGTCTGCAGAAGTGAAGTGAAGGGGTTGGGCTCCTGGCACCCATCTGCTTACCTGCCTCCCTTGAGGAAGGAGCATGGGGAGCAGCCCCAGAAGCCCTATGACTCCGAGGAAAAGAGTTTAAAACAAAAGACGACAAAACAAAAAGCACTGGTCTGGGTCAGCGGTTTGCAACTTTTTTTTTTTTTTAGTAATGGAACCCATTTTTCAAACAAAATCTTAAGCAGCGTCCGAACATAGAAACCAGATGAGTGTTACTTCATCAGCAAAAACTTAGCTAATAAATGTGAACTGATACCATTTATTTATTACAAAGACATGCATGGATCACCAGTAAAGCCCTCTGACCCAAACAAAATTTTGAAACCAGCTGTCTCAGTCCCGCTCTGACAACGCACTCACTTCTGTACTCGGGTGGAGTCGTCTAGATCTGTCGCAGGAGAGTATGCAGAAATGGTAAACACTGCCCAACAACATGCAAGCTGGTGGACTCCTCGGTTAGGCGGAAATGGCGGGAGAAACGTGATTACACATCCTGCCCAACGAGTGAAGCTGGTAACAGGGTCTCCGCCATCACCTCCAACTTGTCAAGCTCAAGTGCGTAACACATTCAAGGGTTCACATGTGTTCCATGGTTTTAAAAGAGTTCAAAGGTAGATTTACAAATGCACTTAGGATTTGCACTTGTAGAACCCCTGAAAACCGTGTCTTTGGAGTCTGAGGGTTTCTCAAAACACAGAAAATGACTGGCCTGGATCATCACAAACGTTTCGTTTAGGCTATTAAATTGGACAGCTTTCCAAGGCGAAGGACCCCTGTGTGCTGACAAATATCCATACGCTCTACAATGTTCACTTAATCTTGGTTCTTATATACATGCTATCTTTGCTCCATGTAGAATACACATAGAAAGATTTTGGCCATAAATGGCAGTAATTAATGAATGGCAACATACTGGTATTTCCGTTACACTTCCCTGTCTACTAGAAAAACAGGTTCAATAATTACCTTTTTATGCCCTGAAAGTACACATCTTTATTTAAACACATAAATGGCCTGGGGAATCTCATAAGAATTATCAAAGCAAAGAGTTTCCAGAGTTGTTTTTCTTTCTACCTGCTACTTGATGATGATACACACAGAACAAAAAAGGGAGAATGGAGGGGCTGATGCCTTTCTTGTCCATGGCCTTCAGTGATTTCATCTCTAACTGGACTGATAGAAATTTGGTCCGTCCACAAACACGCAGCCGGGCGAGTGAACTTCAGATGTCTGATTTTTATTTTCATCGTAGTTTCAGTTTTAAGGAGAGCCTACTGGATTTTTCCACAGTCCACCCACTAATTAGAGACACAGGAAGATAATGACTATGGTTGCTTAGCTTATTTTGAAGCCTAACCAAATGTGGAATCTGGAGGTGGGGATTCTTCTTTCAACACATGGCATTTGCTTTGGGGTTGGACTAGCCTGCATTTTACAGTGACTGAAGATTTCTACCACACACACACACACACACACACACAACCCATGACAGCACTAACTTCATTTATAAATTGGGTGGGGTTGTTTTTTTGTTTTTGTTTTTGGTTCACAATTAGGCAAGTAAAGAGTTTAATAAATTAGTACTTTGACAGTAGAGAGGTCCTACACTTTTTTCGGTGTGGTATATATTTGAACGAGTTCTTTTTATTGATGAGTTGATGCTGAAAGGGTAGTGAAGCTGAGATGCTCTGTAAACCCTGGGCATAAGCTGCAGAGCCTCACCATCTACTGGAAAAGAAAACTTACTTACTGTCACATTTCATCCCTTGATGGATAAGTCCATACAGCAAGGACCCACAGTGATCACAAAAGGTGGGGCTTCCATAGGTGTGGATTTTGAACTTGTGCTTGCTTCTGGGGTCCTGCGGGGAGAAGAAGCACATTGTTCATTCCATCATTAAAGGAACACATCTTTGGACTGAGCCAAGGTCAGGCCCCACCACTTCCCCCCCTCCGCGTGTCAAGGTTCAATAGCACAAGGCTGTGTGCCATTCTCTGGGATAATACAACCAGTGGTGGCGACTTTGCCACATCATGTTTTATTTTTTTTAAAGATTTTATTTATTTATTTGAGAGAGAGAGAATGAGAGACAGAGAGCACGAGAGGGAGGAGGGTCAGAGGGAAAAGCAGACTCCCCGCTGAGCAGGGAGCCCGATGTGGGACTTGATCCCCGGACTCCGGGATCATGACCTGAGCCGAAGGCAGTCGCTTAACCGACTGAGCCACCCAGGCGCCCCGCCACATCATGTTTTAAAAGGCTGCCCATTTTGGGTCATACGATAAATACCCGTGTTTCCTCTCTTTACGGGGTGTAATTTGCACACACCAGGGTTTCCAGCAATGTTGCCACTTTGGGAGGTAGAGTCATAAAACTGCTTGAGGGCAGGCATGGTGTTTTAGATGCCGTAATACTGAGGTATCTCTGGTGCCCAGCGCAGGCTGCAGCAGAGGATAGACACGAAGTCAGGTTGTATTTTTGAAGCTGAACTGAGTGACCCTGGATCCGCTCAGTGGAGTTGGGGTGATCTCCTTTTGGGCAAGTTTTCTAGAAATACAGTATTCAGACCAGATATGCACCCAAACCAACAGAGACCTCTTCCTGCTTCTGCACTATTTCCAAAGCATCATATGCATTTGCATGGGCAAACTCCAGGATAATCAGGTGAAAATTGGAAAACGATCTGAAAGTACACTTCCCATAGCCCCCTGCTGCAATTTCATTACCTTCCCTAGCATAACATACAAATTACTGAAGGTACAAGACAGCTTTCTCTCAAGTAGCCTTTTTGTTCATCAATTCACAGATTACAGATAAGGAAATAAACATTATACACAGCAGAGTGTCATAACCAAAGAGCACGGACTCTGCAGTCAGATTGCCTGGGTTCCGTCCCATGGCTACCACCTCCCAGAAGCGTGACCTTGGACAAATAACTTATCCTTTCTGCCTCATCTGTAGACTGGGAAATCAACAGTGCTTATCTTACGTGGCTGTTACGAGGACAAAACAAGTCAGTCCTACTAAATGCTTAGGTGGGTCCATCTATGTCGATTAGTGCCTCTGTTTCTTGGACCTCTGTTTACTAATATGCAAAAGTGGAGGGTTGAGCCGAAAGACCTTTATGTCCTGCTTGAAATATAAAACAATTTCATTCCTCAAGTCCGTATCAGGACACTTCCTTATTAAATTCCTCCTCCTGAATCATTCTAATTTTGTGGCCCAAATCAGCTGTAAATACAGAGCTGCCATTAACTGAATTAAGGAAGGTAACAGTGGAGCAGGGTTTTGGTGAAGGGCCGGAGATTAACACCTCCACTGTGACATGGTGAGCCTGACTTCTCCTTTAGTCTAGTGTTCCTTTGTGTAAAGATACACAAAGAAAGCTACTCTTGGCTTTTGACCTTCTAAGAGCCTAGGTGCTCGTGGTTTGAGAGAATTTTAGAGGTGATTTTGATTTTATAAGGTGATTCATCTTTTGGTTGACTTTGAAACCTAAGTTTCATATCCAAGCCACATATGCCAATGAATTATACAGTTGACCCTTGACCGTTGTGGGGGTTAAGGGCATCGACACCTATTCCCCCACAGTTGAAAATCCACGTATCACTTTTGACTCCCCAAAAACTTAACTACCAATAGCCTACTGTGGACTGGGAGCCTTAAGGAGAACATGAAACAGTCGATTAACACATATTTTGTATGCTGTGTGTAATACATACAGCCTTATAATGAAGTAAGCTAGAGAAAAAAACGTTAAGAAAAACAAAATACATTTAATGTAGCATACAAAATCCAAGTGTACGTGGATCCATGCATTCAAATCTATGTTGTTCAAGGGTCCACTGTAATTACAACTTTTTAAAGTCATGAATTTTAAAATGCTGGAAAATTTCAATCATGCAGAATAGTATAGAGATATTAAACAAAACATGTAAGCACCATTCAGACTTGATAAATGTTAGCATTCCCCCCGATTTTTCATTGTTTGATTATCTTCGTTCTACAGAGACATTAGTGACCTTCAAAGTCATGTGGTCAGTGAATAGTCAAGATAGGATTTGACCAATATCTGCATCTTTAACACTGAGTCCCACCCAAGGGCTTTAAAAACATCCATCTGGAATGAAGATTTGGCTCTTAACTTTTTTTTAAACAAAGTTTTATATTTTTAACACTTTTTTTAGATTTTATTTATTTGAGTGTGTGCCCGCGCACGCGCGCGAGAGTGTGCATGTGTGCAAGAGGGTGCGCACGCACGAGAGAGCACAAGCAAGGGGGAAGGGCAGAGGGAGAGGGAGAAGCAGACTTCCTGCTGAGCAGGGACCAACCCCCCCCCACCTCCTGGTGCGGGGCTCAATCCCAGGACCCCAGGATCATGACCTGAGCCAAAGGTAGACACTTAACCAACTGAGTCACCCAGGCGCCCCAACACAACATTTTTTTTTTTGCTTTTTTTTTATTCTTATGTTAATCCCCATACATTACATCATTAGTTCTAGATGAAGTGTTCATGATTCATTGTTTGTGCATAACACCCAGTGCTCCATGCAGAATGTGCCCTCCTCAATACCCACCACCAGGCTAACCCATCCTCCCACCCCCCTCCCCTCTAGAACCCTCAGTTTGTTTTTCAGAGTCCATCGTCTCTCATGGTTCGTCTACCTCTCCGATTTCCCCCCCTTCATTCTTCCCCTCCTACTACCTTCTTCTTCTTCTTTTTTTTTTCTTAACATATATTGCATTATTTGTTTCAGAGGTACAGATCTGAGATTCAACAGTCTTGCACAATTCACAGCGCTTACCAGAGCACATACCCTCCCCAGTGTCTATCACCTGGTCACCCCATCCCTCCCACCCCACCCCCGACTCCAACAACACTCAGTTTGTTTCCTGCGATTAAGAATTCCTCATATCAGCCAACACAACATTTTTTAAAACAAGTTTACCACCTGTTTTGTAAATAAAGTTTTATTGGAACACAGCTATGCTTGTTCATTTACATATTTTCTGTGGCTACAATGGCAGAGTTGAGTAGACAGAGCCCACAAAGCCTAAAATATGGCTACAAAGCCTAAATTATTAGCGATCTGGCCCTTACAGAAAACCTTTGCCAATCTCTTCTGGACCATGGTTTTCTCTATAAGGCACCAGCACCACCTGGAACTTGGCGGAAATTATTTAGCCCCTACCCAGACCAAATGACTCAGAAACCCTGTGAGGCCTCAAGCTGCATGTTTCAACAAGCCCTTCAGGTGATCCTAACGTTGGCAGGTACACTGAAGACTGGGAGCCACTGCTAGAGAAGGTTATTTGACAAATATCTAGTAAGTGCCTACTGGGTACGAGGTGCAGGTGTGTGTGAATGATTAGCAGTATCGAGTTGGGTCATCAGTTTACTTTCTAAATGTCCCTTAGGGTGTGAAAAATCAACGCCATCCCTGGGAGATTATTTTCCTTAGCGAGGAGTAGCTGTGAGTACAGGCTTAAGTACAGGCTTAGCCTTTCACCATTAGAGCATTGCACCAATCTTTCCAATATCCCAGATATTAGGCCGAATGTTGAGGGCACAGGACAGCATCAGTATCCATTAAAAGTCCCCATGTTGACAGCAAAGGTTACGTCCTACCCTGCGGAGGGCAAAGAGGATGCCAGGGGAAAGGAAGCAGCCAGCTTCCCCTGCAGAAGCAAGGCATCAACAAGTGGCACTAAATAAACAAACATGGCAGCTCACACACAGCCCTCTGGAGCCTGGGTGGGCCAGGCAGCTCCAGGGCGGCTGTCCTGCCAGTTGGTTGTCACACAGATCTCTATGAATGTGGCACACGGGCAACTCGCTTCACTTTTCAGGAAAATCTAAGTCTTACTCATCCGATCCCCATATGGCATCTTCAGGCCCCAACCGTTTGGAGGTGTAGGAAGAGAGCAAACCGTTACTTCCACCTCCTATAGAAGTCTGGAGAATGACCAAGCCTTGGAGTCCTCATGCTCCGAAATCACGAGTGGCCAAGGATCATGCCTATGTTAACGAGAATAACAGTAACACAATAATGGTAACACCCTTTTGTTGATCTTCAAGTGCGTGCAGGTGCTTTACCATGCCCATGACCTCTCCTACAAAGAGAGCATCTCCCAGGATTCTGGAGACCTGTGGTCAGACTCTAGTCTTGACACAAACTCAACAACTTTGGACAAGTCATGTCACTTACTTACAGAGCAGAAATAAAACCAGTCTGCCTATGTCATAGCCTGGGGGTGGGGCCTATCTTCGGGAATGTATGAGACAGGGCTTTGCAACCCAAAAACCCCTAGACAAATACAAGATTATAATTATCTTATCCTTGGAAGTAAAGTCCAAGATGCCCAAGGTTTTCCAATGATACTTTAGTGACTTGGGTCAGAATGGGAAGGAAGGAAGAGGAAAGCTGATCAACTTTGGGGCTCACGGGTGGCTGGAGTGGAGGCCAAGTTGGCAAGGAGGCAGGGGACTTCCTCTGGGGTCCTGAGTTCCTGTCCTCTGCTCTAGAGTGGCCTTCCCAGGCAAGTGCCCCGTGCTGGGTGGTGAACTGTGAAACAGCCCGCCAACCCAACCTGCCTGTTCTCCGCTCCCACCCTAAGGACGGCTCATCTCTGTCTCCACGGAAATGGAACTCAGGAGTACAGACATGCATTTCCAGTCGTATTAATCTCACCTGGTCTGACAAAAGAAACCACAGTGTTAGCTAAAGAGCTAGGACTTACAATGATTTACAGAAGCAACTGTCCCGAAAAGCTCCCAGGTTCTTTCTGTTCCTATTCATAGCTGCTAACTAGTGGTGTGCTTTACTCCTTTGGGCTCTGATTTCCTCATCGGGAATCTGAAGGGACTAGGTCAGCACTTTCAAAGGGGCAGATTCCCCAGGGCCATCCA